AGTAGTACTCTCAACTTCACCATACTGATGGGATGTACTGAAAGAAGTCAGCATCAACTACAATGCGTTCTCATATTTTGTTCTGAAAATACTCATTTACCGAAAGCCCTAAATTGTCAGCCCTTTAGGGCTGCTAAATACTCCTTGTAAAGTACACTTACTACTCACAGCTAAGTGCTGTCAACCATCTACCTTCGGGCCCGTGTTCGGTTAAAGTTTAACCGCAGTCTGCATAAATAACAGGAAATATGAGTGGAACTGGGTCCTGGGTATGTGTCTGTGAAATATATTTTTTTCTTTGGCAGACGTCGGAATACCCGTTTTGTCAATCAAAGTTTTGGCTAGCTATTTTATCATAGAAAATGAGCTCTGGTTACAGTTTCTGCGCTAAAACCTCTGTTGGGTAACTTCAATGTGTGCAACGTGAAGGTCAAGTTAGTGGCAGACTCCACCTAAACCGTCTTGTCCAAAGTTCAAAGTCCAAATCAACAGAACTGAGTGCAAGCTTTTTCTCGAGTGGGTCCTAGTAAAGTAAAGACACGAAACACATGCTGAATAGTATTTCACGTGTAGCATGATTGGCTGGCTGATTTTTATCCGGTTGTTTTGCACACGTGTGTGTTGGACATTCTAGAAGGTCTGAAGTGTTTAGTACGACATTCAATACCGGAAGCGGGGGTGGTAGTTACACACTACCAGTGTATGTGCGTGCGTGTGACGCAATTCCCACCTCCCCCCACCCATCACAGTCACATGGACTGCGGCTCACATCTGTTGCGTTACCTGGCAATATAAATACGTTAAGAAACATGTGCACAGGTTAGACGAAAATGCCTTCCGTACTGCTTATCAGCCTCCTCGTCACCGTCGCGTCGGTGACTAGGGCAGAAGAGACAACTCCTGCGGAACTGCCTGCCCAATTGACTGCCTTGGTAAATATGACAAAAATTATACTCCAATTCTGTTGTAGAACCCTCCTCTTAAAAAAACAGCATTCTTAAGCTTCGCGACTGATGCCGTTTCTGGTCCACATGTAGTGGTGAATCGAAACATGCTGGTCTACAGTGATGCCCTCTACTCCAATTGGACAGAGTGGCAAAACTGTTCAAAGTACACCTGCAAAGAATACCGCTACCGTCAGTGCTTGAACGAGTCTTACAAGGAGCCCATCGGCGATTATCGCAAACGTGAGGTTTGCCCCTTCAAGTTCATTACAGAGGAGCGGCAGTGCGTGAATCGTTCTGAATGCATCGAATCACGTAAGTTTCGTGCACCTATTATGTTTACTTGAAAGTCGCGCATATTTTTGCCTTCTTTTAATGCACAGATAAAGGATTCGCTTTTGTCTGTCAGGACACGAAAGTCGTTTTAGAAAAAAACCTGATGCCGTATTACCTCATGGTAAACAGTTCATACAGGCAAAACATTAAGAAGAATATGTTCAGATAACAAGTTTGGTTATTTAACCTTCCTTACCAACTTATTAGGGAACTTGCATTCACTACTATTTTATCATGCAAATCTTAGATTAGGCAGTCTATTTAGCTTTGTTTAACAGAATGAACAATTCTGTACAAAAGGTTAATAAATACGACAAGTCAAAACCACTGCAATGTTCATCGGGTATATTACGGAAGCTACCATTGCCGTGCCAGTTAATGTGCGCACGTAAACTGCATGTGATTTGCAACAAAAATGGAGCCAGTGAAGGCAGAAAAATTTTTCAAGCACACCTAGAACGGATTGCTAATCATGCAAACTTTACCCTAACCAGCTTTGAAATAAGGCATAGGGACGATATGGTTTCTTGATTTATTTTTCTATAAAACCGATGAGTTCAATAAATATGGTGAAATTGTTTGGCTGGTTGGACTAAATACTTATTTTCTATCACTCTTACACTAGTTATTCACATATGATAAAATTGATGACTTGTCAAAAACAGAATAAACGCCTTACGAATCCGACTGAGAAAATTTTACCAGCATATCATTGCTTGCAGGTGTCATTACAAGTGAGACATTATCCGAAATGGGTAATTAATGGACAGTGCTTTTAAGTATTTATAGGATATAGTCACCATGTTACTGCAT